TTCATAGGTTGACACTCAACCACTGAGCAACACTGGCTGGGCCAAAAATGTTTTTTCAAATGGACTTTCCCAATGTCTCACCTTCAAAAATAGTGCCTGATATTTGCTAGACATTTAGTTATAAGAAATATTCATGGATCATTGCAGTGCAACTAAATGCCAAGTCTTATACTTTGAGGCCTGACAGGTAAAGCCTTTGGAATTGCCTACTTTCAGACCTGAAAAATAACATATAGTTATTTTGGCCAGGAGCTGGATCGATTCCTCACTAAAGAGCTGATAAAAAGAAGGAAGAGTAGTCTATGTGCTAGAATTTCTGACAAAAGGTGAAAAAGTCACATATTGTGAATAGTCACTTCAGAGTATAGGAAAGAAGATAGACAATTAGGCCAGATTAGGTCAGAGCAGTCAAAGGATAGGTCAAAGTCAGATGTTTTTTCCCAAATTGCTGAGAAGGTCTCTTATGGGAACACTGTTAATGTTTTCAACTTCTGTGTGGACAGGAGTGAGGGCTCAAGATAAACTGGATGCAAGGTTATTTGGAGATTGTATTTCTTGTGGCCACCAGTGAGAGTGCAGAGTCGGGGAGCCAGAAGTAGTAGAGGGGGACTGTGGGCCTGATGTCTATGTTTCATCCCTGCCTGGTGCAGACCAACACCACTGTGCGCAGGAGTCTGACGAAAACCAGGGAGGGAAGGGACTGCAAGGAAGTGCCTTTGCAGGAGTGCCCCCTTCCTTGCCTTATTGCTAATCAGGATGAGGCCTTCAAGAACACCGTCTTCAAGGTAGAGGTTGAGAGGAGATTGACATGTAGCTCAACGTCAGTTGGAAGATCCACTCACCAGTTGGGACTCAGTGACCATGTTTCTCTCCCATTGGGCCCTGTCTTCCTAGGATGTTGCCTTAGTGCAAGAACAGGCTCAACAGTCTGCCTTAAGAATGTGAGAGAGTTGTTTGCTGAACTCTGCAAGCACCTCCAGAGGCTAAAGGGCAAGCAAACATGCTCAGAACTCTTCCCCCTCAACCCAATCCTGTCTCTCACCCCAGCATCTGGGGAGATGGGTGCTACCTGGGAAGAAAGCACATGGATAAAACACATATGAGAGGGAGGTGGGGACTGCTTGTGTTCCTTCTTGTTTTTCATTGCTAAAATTGCACTGTTCATTGCAATGTAAAATGTATCCTGAAGGAGGTCACAGTTTGATTCCTGAAGATGGGGAGGAGTGTTTAATACACAATGCCAGTGCATCTTCTTGTTTTGTGTCCCCTTCCCCCCTCCCGTTTGTGACAAGAGACTGATTATTCTGCTTCTGATCTTCCCATCCAGTATTTTGTTCTCCCATCAAGTCTGATTATATTTTCTGCTAGAGGCCTGGTGCACAAAAATTTGTGCACTCAGGGGGGGTGGGGAACAGCCCGGCCTGTGCCTTCTCACAGTCTGGGACCCCTCGGGAGATAATGACCTGCTGGCTTAGGCCTGCTCCCGGTGGCAGAGGGCAGGCCCAATCCCAAGGTGCAGCCCCTGGTCAGGCTCAGAGCACAGCCGATTGGGGAGTTGGGGTGCCTTT